GCTATGAGTCAGAATCGGCTCAACGCCAAAGGGTGATTAACTAAGTGTGTGTAAAGGCACATAGAGAGAGACAAAAAGGCACTAGTTGGAAAATGGCAAGCTGTTCATCGTTGCCAAGCATAGGATGTAGCTGTTTAGGGCAAGAGAAGACTTGTGGCTAGACAGAAATGATGTTGGCCAAGTTATGTCAGTCTTCCTACAGAGAACGTTTCGAATGGATGCTGAGAAATTGGGACTTTAGTGTGTAGGCAATTAGGAGTTAAGAGAGTGATATCAATACTAGGAAAAGATTAGTCTAAAGGACTAATGGACCATGACTACTATGGCCTCAACCAAACTGAGTCCAGTACAACTAGATGATGCCGGCTACCACCACTGACTTCTCTGACCGGGATCACCACAGAGGGTCCCAGACAGAGCTGGAGAAAAATGTAGGACAAAATTCTAATTCACAAAAAAAGATTAGATTTACTGGCCTGACAGAGACTGTAGAAACCCCAAGAGTATGGCCCCGGGATCCCCTTTGAGCTCATTAATGAAGTCATCCCCTTTAGCCAAAGATTAGACATCCCCATAAAACAAAATGAGACTAATGGGGCACAACAGTCCAGGGACAAGGACTAGCAGGCAGGAGGGGACAGGAAAACTGGTAATAGGGAACCCAAGGTTGAGAAGGGACAGTGTTGACATGTCCTGGGGTTGTTAACAATTGTCATAAAACAATACTTGTAGTAACTGGTTAATGAGAAACTATTTGTTCTGTAAACCTTCATCTAAAGTACAACAAGAAAATAAAGTAAATATATACGGAAAAAAAAAAAAAAGAGACTGATATTATTTGACTTGTGATTATAAAAATAACTTTGACAGCAGAGTGGATGATGGTGTTTCATTTTGGGAAGCCTGGTTTAAAAGATTCTAAATTCTGGAAATAAGCCTATGGAGACTTGATTATCAGAAGAGGGAAAGAGTGGTTCAGAGAAACCACAGACTAGGGAATGTTATGTCTATCCCTGGTACAACTTTAAGGAGCCCTGGTGATGCAGCAGTTAGGTGCTTGGCTGCTAACCAAAAGGCTGGCAGTTTGAACTCACCCAGCAGCTCTGATCTGCTCCCGTAGTGATTACAGCCTAGGATACCCTATAGGGCTCTGCCACAATGGGTCACTATGAGTCAAATATCAACTGGACGGCACCTATCTATAACAACGTTCAGTGAGTGCTTAAGGCTATGTTTTCAAGGATATTTATTGCAGCATTATTCATAGTGACAATAATTGGAAACAAAGTAATGCTTATCATAGCAGAATGGTTGAATATTAGTTGTCTTTGCGCTTTCTGGAATGTTTTGCAGCCACTGTAAAGAATGAATTAGGTTTATATTTGTTAACCTGAAGGGATTGGTATGTTCTGTGAAGGGAGAAAAGAACCAAGCTGTGGAGAACTGTATGAAATATGATCTTATTTTTGTAAAAAATAAATTAGAAAAAGAAAAATTGTACGTGTATGTTAAAAGCAGGATAAAGTTATGAATAAATGAGAACCACATTGTTATCATTAATTGGAGGGTGGAGAATGGCAAGTGACGGATTAGCTGGGTGAGGGGAGAGAGGAGCAAATAAGATTGTTTTTAAAAGAATGATCTCCATAATAATGATAACTAAAAAACCAAACTCATCGCTGTGGAGTTCATTCCAACTCATAGAGACTCTATAGTAACGACAGGAGATATGATAATACACACGGGTACATATAAATGCATAAGGAGCCCTGGGGGCACTGTGGTTAAGCACCTGGCAGTCAGCCGGAAGTTTGTCAGTTTAAACCCACCAGCCTGTCTGAGGGACATAGACGTGGCAGTCTGCTTCTGTAAAGATTGCAGCCCTGGAAACTCTATGCGACAGTTCTACTTTGTCCTATAGGGTCACCGCCAGTCAGAATCCACTCATCAGCAACAGGTATATATAAACGCATAGAGAAATGCATGAAAGGATTGTTGTAACCAACGGGGTTAAACTGTTCCCCCTCCTGAAATGTAACCAACAAGGTTAAACTATTCCCCCTCTTCCTGCCATCACAGCCAGGCTGAGTTCCTGATAAAGCATTTCTGTATTACAGCCCAAGGTCATCTTACTGCTTCTCTGCTCAAGGCCACTTCGCTACTCACCAACTACCCCCTGTCCATTCAGACATGAGCAATAAGCCATAAAGCTGTCCTTAGATAAACTTCATGAGTCATACTCCCCCAGAAAACACACACTGCCAGTCACCATATTGCAACCCCCATTGTACCCATTAGTTCCTAAAATTGCCTGCCTATTCCCAGAAGCTTCATGAATTATGCATAAGTTCCCTGTCCTGAGCCTATAACTGCCTTCGAATCCCCAGCCTTGGGGAGCTTGATTTGAGAGTTGGTCTCAGAGCTCCTTGCTTGACCGGCTTGCAATAAAGTCCACTTTGCTTTCTCAAAGGCCTGGGGTCTCTCAGTTGACTCTAGGGGTCCCGCCAGCAGGGCCCTTTCCCATCAGGTTGCGTTATCACCAAAACGTTAATGTTGCTTTCTCAAGGTGGTGAAATCTCAGTGGTTTTCTACTAATTTTATACTTTTTCCTTATTATTTACTTTTTTTTTTGGCAAAAAGAACTAATATTGTTTTATTTAATTGGAGGAAGAAAGCCTATTAAAATACTACTCTCACTGTGAAAAAGCCATTCCCAAGCTTTTCAGGGAAGCTGGTGGTCTTCTCACCAGCACACTCCTTCCTGTTTTGATAAACAGTGTCCTTCAGGTCCACCAGTGCAGCATAGTCACTTAGGGGGCTTTCTAGCTTTACATAGTATTTCACTCTTTTGTTTTTTAATTGTAGTAAAAATGTACACACCAAAACATCTGCTAATACAACAACTTCCACATTTACAAGTCAATGACACTGGTTACATTTTTCATGTTGCACCACCATTATCGCTATCCTTATCCAAAATTATTTTCTCTCTTGCATGCCCCATTCTACGAATCTTTTGATCCCTTCTTGCACCATCTACCACATTAGTTCTGACATTTTTAGTTCACTTAGTGCAGGCCATTGCTCTCTCCAAGTTTCCAAAAACCATCCCTCTTGTTGTCCCTGTTGTTTGCCGTCGTAGCTGCATGTTATTACCATCTCCCAAGGATCCACCGAGAATGTTAAATCCTGTATGTGATTTATGGGCAAAGGTGTCTATAGGGTTCTACGAGTCGGAATCTATTCGACAGCAACAGGTTTGGTTTTTGGTTTTGCACTTCCTCAGAAGGAGCCATGGTGGCGCAAGTGAGTAGGTGCTTGACAGCAACAAAAACATTCGTGATTCAAACTCACCCTGCCACTCCGAGGGAGAAAAACCTAATAATCTTCTCCTGTAAAGATTATAGCCTAGGAAACTCTATAGGGCAGTTCTACTCTGTCACATGGGGGCGCTATCAGTCAGAATAGACTCAAAAACTAACAACAGCAACAAAGCATCTCCTTAGGGATATTAGCCACTTTCTTTTTTCTTTTTTTTTTAACATACACAGGACTTTCACAGGCAGATTATGTGGTGACTTAACCCTAGTTATTGGTTTGGAGGCTGTGAGAGGAAATCTGAGGACAGACAGTAGGAGATGCCATTTCAGAACTAAAATCCCTGATAGCAATGGGGACCATGAGATGTCTATATAGTAGAAGCCAGGTGGCAGTGCTTAACCACCAAGTTGGGCACAATTATTATAATGAGCAGCAATGGCAGAGTGACAGCCAGAAAGACATGACTCACAGAATGCCATGGACGTGGTTAAGAGAACACGGCGTTCTTGGAAGCAAGATAGATGGGCAGCCAACAAGAGTATTGCTCCATCTACATAATCAAAAA